GAGAGAGAGGGAGAGAGAGGGAGAGAGAGGGAGACAGACACTGGACTCCGGTCTAGTGCAGAAGCAATGTGTGTCTGTGCCTCTTTTTTAAACAGCATGTGCTTACTCTTTCACATTTTGGTAATTCTTGCAACATTTCAAACCCTTTCACTATTCACTATGATCAGTGATCATCGATGTTACTATTGTAACTAGGGTTGCCACTAACCAAGCCCATATAAGACAGCAAATTTAATCGATCAATGTGTATACTCTTAACTACTCCACCAACCAGCCGTCAGCTCCCCCATCTCTCCCTCTCCTCCAGCCTCCCTATTCCCTGAAATACAATAGTAAAATCAGGCCTGTTAACAACCCTACAATGGCCTTCAAGTGTTCAGGTGAAAAAAGTGAAGAGTCCTACATCTCTTACTTTAAATCCAAACTAGAAATGTTTAAGTTTTGTGAGGAAGCCACGGGAGGTCACAAGCTCGGCCTCTTGTGCCAAACAATTAGACATGTTGTGAATGCAAAGGAAAAGTTCTCCAAGGAAATTAAAAGTGCTACTCCAGTGAACACACGAATGATAACCTTATTGCTGATACAGAGAAAGTCAGAATGTTCTGGATAGAAGACTGAAGCAGCCACAACCTTCCCTTAAGCCAAAACCTAATCCAGAGCAAGGCCCTAACTACAATTCTCTGAGGGCTGAGAGGTGACAAACCTGCAGAAGAAAAGCTGGAAGCTAACAGAGACTGCTTCATGAAGTTTAAGAAAAGAAGCTGTTTCCATAGCATAAAAGTGCAAGGTGAAGCAGCAAGTTCTGATGGAGAAGCTGCAGCAAATTCTCCAGAAGATCTATCTAACTGATGAAGGTGGCTGCTCTAAGCAGAAGCTTTTCAGTGTAAACCAAACAGTCTTCTATTGGAAGAAGATGCCATCTAAGACTCTCATGGCTAGAAAAAAGTCAATGTCTGGCTTCAAATGACAAGTTCACTATCTTGTTAGGGGTTAATGCAGCTGGTGTCTTTAAATTGAAGCCAGTACTCATTGACCATTCCAAAAACCCTATGGCCCTTAAGAACTATACTAAATCTACTCTTCCTGTGCTCTAGAAATAGAACAACAAAGTCTGGATGATAGCACATCTTCCTACAGCATGGTTTACCATATATTTAAGCCCATTGTTGATACTAACTACTCAGAAAAGATTCCTTCCTAAATATTACTGCTCAATAACAGTACACCTGATCACCCAAGAGTTCTGATGGAGATGTTTAATGAGATGAATGACTGCTATCAGATGATCCATTCCGCAATCTATGATAAAGGAATAATTTTGACTTTTAAGTCTTATTATTTAAGAAATATATGTTGCCGGGCTCGGTGGCTCAGCCTGTAATCCCACGCCTTTGGGAGGCTGAGGTGAGTGGATTGCCTGAGCCCGCGGGTTTGAGACCCAACTGGGCAACTTGGCGAGACCTCATCTCTACAATCAATCAAAAATTATCCGGGCGTGGTAGCGCGCGCCTGAGTTCCGGCTACTCAGAAGGCTGAGGCGGAAGGATCGCCGGAGCCCAGCAGGTCAAGGCTGCGGTGGCCAGGAATGGCCACTGCACTCCAGTCTGGGCGACAGAGTGAGACTCCAACTCAAAAATAAAAAAAGAAATATATGTTAGCTGGGCTCGGTGGCTCAGCCTGTAATCCCACGCCTTTGGGAGGCTGAGGTGAGTGGATTGCCTGAGCCCGCGGGTTCGAGACCCGCCTGGGCAACTTGGCGAAACCTCATCTCTACAATAAATCAAAAAATTAGCCAGGCATGGTAGTGCGCTCCTGTAGTTCCAGCTACTTGGAAGGCTGAGGCGGAAGGATG